AAAAAACCTCTAGTACCTCCAAAAGAAATGATTGCGAAAAGAATGATTACTTAAGGACGAACATAACAGTGAATCAGTGAATTTCTTGAAAATAATTTTTGTTGTCAATCAAGTTTTTGTAGAACTTTTGAACGGATATTAAAACGTTTTTTTTTCGGACGTTGAGAACTTGATCCTTTCAAATGCAGATATGCAGATCATCAATCAACTCCTAAACGGAACAGCAAAGAATCATGAGCAAATTGATCGATGCATTCAGTGCTCTCTTCAGATCGCACGACATTCACTGTCATGAACGAGAGTGCTTGCTGAGAATCAAACAGAAAAAGAATTTAAGAGAAAACGGAAACAAAAATAATCGAAATTCGAACGCATTCACAAATATGGAACACTAAATGGATGAATAATTACGAATATTGATTTTAATGATATTATGAAGTGGAATAAGGGTGGCGAGTCTATCTGAATCAGAGGAAGGGAGTATGCTTGCTTTATGAATCACAACGTAATTATTGGTACTGCTATCAGTTGCATCTTATTATCTTCATTATCATTTGTGTACATCACTCTATCATTTTTTGAAGGATTATCTCTTTGTTTTACAATTGAAACAGTCAATAACGAAATATATTCTCAGTAACAACAAAATATATGCCAAAGATACATTTGCAGTTCATCATCCTTCAATAAGCAATATTTGGAGGACCATTTCTTCAGATTTTACGTACACTCAACGTCTGTACGTTTTAAAATTATACCGATTCTACTCAGCTCCATACACATATCTATGACATTTCTTCTTACATTCACTCATCTTATTATAAAATGTGGGACATTTTCATGGTTATAAAACCGAAAAGAAATCTCCAATGGAATTGTAAGTAGGTGAATTATATCATTGCTATCGCATAATTCTGTTTTTCAATTTGTGATTATCAGCGGTAATTCTGTCTGTGATTATCAGTGGTAGTTGTGCTTGTGATTACCAGTGCTTCCCAAGCTTTCATGAGTCAGAAAGACTACGACTGCTAATAAGATTGGTGACATCACAACCGACCATAACAGATAACGTCTGCGGTCGAAAAACCATGAGAACTACCATCTGCGGTTGAGCGATTCAAAGTGTATTAATGTGTTCAAAGTGTATCAATGTGTGTAATCAAATGAGGATAAATGATTAACAAATAATAAATGAATAATACCAGAAAAGAAGGTTAGTTAGACATCAGTTGATATGAAGAAGGATCATCAGAATTGACATCACTTCCGGATGTGCTGATTGCACACGATCGCAAACAAGCTTGAGGTATAAGGAGAGGCATGACATTCTCGAGGTTTCTACTTATTCGCTTCGTTCACCTCAACAACAAATCGCTAGTGAACGAGGTTAAACTCGCGGACTGTAGACAAATAATAATTGATAAGATATTTCGCCTGAAACTCCTCAAACATACCATCAACAGACCGACCTGACTTCATCATTAAGAGAGAAGAACAATTGCTAGGCGAGAAGAACTATTTTATTGACAACAATGAGTCAATAAAATGATATTTTTTCCAACATAAAGACCCTTCATAACGCTCAGACTTCTTCAACATGCTTCTAAATTGCTCCTATCTTTGAAATGTTTCATTTGAAAATTTATCTTATTTACTTATCTTTTCATCTGCTTTCAATCGAATTCATCATCGTCAGCGTATCGGCTGCCTCCCATCAAACATACTCAGATGGTCACAACTGATCAGTGCACAAGACACATCAATATACGAATATAACTGAATCTGCACTGATTTTCTTGAACGTCAGTGATGAATGAATTCGTAGCGGTTCACCTCGTGTTGCATTATTCTCGCGACGTAAAGCATGTCAGCAATCAATAAAAAATGAAATCGACACGCGAAATATGTGCGCATTAATATCGCAAAATCGATTAACTGGAATATTTCGTAATAAATTTGAGAGAAATTGGTCACTCGAAGCGTGAACGTTTGTGAAGAGGATAACCGAAATTGGCATTGGAAAAACAAATATAGAACAATGAAGTCAATGAAATAGAGAAGTCGTGTGCACAGCAAATGGATTTATAAGGAATTGGATAATGATGACAAAGGCGAACAACACAAACAAATAGAAACACATAGCAGCAGTGCATAATGCATAAGCCCTACTCGAATATCGACAGCGTTCAGAAATTAGCCATTTCAGATGAGATAGACGACGTCTACTGAATCATCATTGCGCCCTTCAGTAATTGATTCACTAGCATGTGCACTTGTGCTATATTTGTTGCTCGATTCTGCATCGTTTCTCACATCATAAGGACGGTGCACTTCCGAAATATGCCATTTAAAGAAAGTCCGAACTTCAAAAACGAAATTTTTCGAAATTTCTGTGGGCAGACACAAGCCGAAAACTTAATGAATGCAGGTAGTTGTTGAAGAAATAAACGTAATTGAAAGGTAGTGGACTGTCTCATTTCAAAGACTGGAAGAAGTTTTGAAGTAAGAAGTGACGGAGAAAATGACGAATAAGAATGAAAAAATTGTTTCATATTAAAAAATCGTTGATAATTTAAAGTAAGTCAAAAGGAGAATATCGATGTATTATTGAACAAATTTACAGTAAATGGACCACGAATTGCTGTTGCTAAATCATATCAAAACAACGCAAATGAAAACTTTTCGAAATACGTAAACTTTGTTCTTTGACCTTATTTTGCCACATCCAAACACATTGTCACAAGTCTGTCCATCAACGAATCATTGCAATCCTTAAAGCGTGAAGAATTTATGGACCACGAATTCCTGTTGCCCACATATTCTTAATTCTATTCCTCCTGAATACTTCATTGAACATCCAACTTGTTAACGGGAATCATTATTCCAAGAAGTGTTTTTAAGAGACCAGATCAACTTCAAGGAATCTCATCATTTAACACACAACTTAATCGGATCATTTTGAACATAAAAGTAAAGTGAGGTGAATTTCCAACTGCACTGTCAACAAAAGTGAATTTTGTTCATAAAGAACAAAAAAAGGACAACGTTGAAATGGAAGTGTATAATGGAAAGAAATGTGAACGCTGTATCGATAAGAAAGTTTACATTGTGTGCTTTTATCAGTTTCATATCATAAACGATGTAATCGAAAAGCTTGAATCGTCCGTAAATGAAATGTACAATGAAAATTGACTTACGTGAACGATCAAACGCATACTCACCTCAGGGGGCATAAACACATTTTCGCTATGGAAGAGAAGTTGTAACCATGAAAACCCTTTGAACTGCAGCCTTAAGCAACGTTCCACTCCTAATACAAAACGCTTTAAGACAATGCAGTCGAATATTTTTTGCTAAAAAAAAATTCTTAGAAAGAACACATCTCTCCGCAATTCAATTCATAAGTTAAATATCATGATTTCGCTAAGCTGCTGCTCTCTTATCATCCTCAGATAGCTATCAATTGATGCGTTTTATCTAAACCGGTGTTTCCATACGGATAAATTTAGGAATCTAACAATAAGGGGGTGGAGAGTTAAAGTTATGAAAGCGTTATTGACTGATTCTTTCAACACAGTTCTTCTATGATCGTTCAAAAATTTTTGCAAATTACTTGTTTGATCATAAGGAATTTTCAATAATATTGTATTAATAGTCTGCATAAAAACTGAACGTGTACACTTTAGCGGTACATTGAATTTCCTCGGTTATATTACATGATAATTATGGAAATTCAGATGAACTGGCATGGCTTCTCCGCAACATATATAATCTTTTGATATTTGAGAACCTTCTGATTTCGACACTGCAAAAACCTCTTTCTGGACGAAGGCAACCTGAACTTAAGGTAACTTC